TACAAATTGAGTGCAAAAAGTCTGATTTAGCCTATTAATTATATTGCACTTAATGCCAATATTCATAAACATTAATTTATTTTAATACAATATGTTTATCAGTGTATTTGACTACTTTTGGTTGCATATTGGGATGTCTGATGGACAACCAGCTGAGAGCCACTGGTGTAAGACATTCAATCACCATCCATGAATACAGAGATTTGATTAAAACACTGTGAAATGAGACTAAACACGCAATCTCATCAATCAGAGAAGCTCGTTCTGTATTTGTTAAGAGGTTTAAATCTCAAAATAGCCAAAGCGACTGTAATTCAGAGGCTGGAAAACGTTCAATTATTGCACAGTCCCGTAAAGACAGCGCCAATCATCCGCTCCCACATACAACACTTCAATATGTTTGCCCTCGCAGCGTCTGTGTGAACAGTGACAGACACACCACTGTGTGCACACAAACACCTACACACATGACAGGGAGAGGAGTGTGAGGAACGCTCAGAATGGGATACTAAATTACCAATATGCGAGGAATTGAAGTGCTTATTGAAAAATGCATGCTCATATTTAAAGGAGTAGTTCACTTTAAAAAAAAACAACAACAAAAAAAAAAAAAAAAACACAGTTTTGCTGATAATTTACTCACCCCCATGTCATCCAAGATGTCCATGTCTTTCTTTCTTCAGTCGAAAAGAAATGAAGGTTTTTGATGAAAACATTCCAGGATTTTCTCCATATAATGGAGTTCAATGGGACCCAAACGGTTCAAGGTCCAAAAGACAGTTTCAGTGCAAATTGTAAACTGTTCAAAGGGCTTTAAACGACACCAGACGGTGAATAAGGGTCTTATCTAGCGAAACGATCGCTCATTTAATAAATAAATAACAAATTTTAAGTTTTATAAGCTCAAATGCTCGCCTTGCTCTGTTTTGTGATGCGCATTCGTGACTCCCCTGTTCGAACTCGTTCATCAAAATTAACAAATCTTTTCCCGAGTCAACTCGTTCATTTCGTTCGCTGAATGAAACAAATGACACGAAAAAAGATTTTGCACTGAAACTGTCTTTTGGACCTTGAACCGTTTGGTTCCCAGTGAAGTCCATTATATGGAGAAAAATCCTGGAATGTTTTCATCAAAAACCTTAATTTCTTTTCGACTGAAGAAAGAAAGACGTGGACATCTTGGATGACATGGGGGTGAGTCAATTATCATTTATCAGCAAAAGTTTTTTTTTTTTTTTTAAAGTGAACTACTCCTTTAATATTTCACAAGAGTACAATGCAGTGCTAGCATCCTATCTGAAAACAGCACATCTGGTTTACTATTTATGGGGACTCAACATAAGACACAATGTTTTTTATACTGTAAAAACTGTATATGAAGAGTTCAGATGCAAAAGCCTCTAAATGCCATTTGAAATTTTCATCTTTAATGATGATTTTTATCAAACTTGTATATTTAAGTTCAGTAATTTCACTTAAATAACAATTAATAGGTAATTATCATTGCCATTTAAGTGAAATTACTGAACTTAAATATACAAGTTTGATAAAAATCATCATTAAAGAAGAAAATTTCAAATGGCATTTAGAGGCTTTTGCATCTGAACTCTTCATATTCTCTCTTCTTACACTAACACTGTAAACTTTCACTGAAAAAAAAAAAAAAAAAAAAAAAACTCATTCTGTATGATTTATAAGCTTGTCCCCTCATGGGGACCTCGATTTAGGTCCCCACAGTGACACGAGTCCCTATGAGTCGGTGTGCATTCAGGTTGAAGTCCTCATGGGTATAGAACATGCACACACACACACACACACACACACGCTCCCCCCCTGCATGAACATATTTCAGCTGCTCAATTAGTGAAATGTGAACTGGGAGTGAAATATGCCCAGGGCCGTTTTCAAATCTGCTTTGAGCGATAAGGTGACAAATAGCAGCCGCGCGCTCTCGACGGGTGTTTTCACACTGCCTGTGATTCCAAGCACGCCAGAATAAACCGGCAGCGCTCGCACGACTCCGCACGCATACAAAAGTGCCACTTTAAGGAGGGAGAGGAGATTGCAAGATGTTTTCTATTTCACAAGGCAAAGCCTCTCTCCGCGGAGCAGCATGTCAACACTAGCGGGAGGCGACTGGCCTTTAGATGGCCGATTTATTTTGTGTTTCCAGGATGTCTGGTGGGAGACGCGTGACTGCAGGCGGCTGGATGAGCATTAAAAGAATTACAAATATATCTGAGGCGATTCGGTGTCACAACCACAGGCTTAAGCAGACGCATGATCTATGGGAGGTGAACGATCGTGAATGACTGGAAATATTTACATATATAAACAAACCACACACTCCACACAACAATATTATTTTTATGCTTTTTCTCAGTCTGATATTTTCTAGCATTCGCTTTCCCTCACCATTGTTCTGATTTACTTCTGACACGTTCCAGGGTAGGGAGCTTTTTTTGTGCAACTTTTTATTTTCAAAATTCTGACTTTTTATCTCGCAATTGCAAGTTTACGTCTGGCAATTCTGACTTTTTCTCAGAATTGTGAATTTATCTCTCCAACTCTTAAAGAAAAAGTAGACTTGCAATTGTGAGAAATATCTGCGAGATAAATATATATTTATATATTTTTATTCAGTGGTGTAAACAAGCTTTCGTAGATTTAAGCAGCAATACGGAACTGAAATGCATTTAGCAAAAAAATAATAAAATAAATAAATAATTGAATAATATATGTTAAATTTAAGTTAAAATAAAACTTAAAATATAACTTATAAATGTTAAATATAAATTGTATTTATACACTATATATATATATATATAAACCGAGATCAATATAGTGAGGGGTTGCAATAAAATTTGGTCCCAAACTTTCGTTCTTTCTGTCTAAATGGATCAATTTGTCATTTGTTGCCAATTGGACAAAAATGCACTAACAAACCATTAAAACACCCTTGCAAGCTTCCATAGATTTGAGCAGCAATAAGGAACTGAAATTTGTCATAAATAAATAAATTAAATAAATAAATAATTGATAAATATATATTAAATACTCAATATATTTTACAATATATTTAAAATATATTTTATTTAAATATAAATATATTCTATATATTTTTTCTGAATTATCATAGTTTAAAAATGTCCCAATACCTTAATATTCACATTTTATATTTTAAGATCTTTAAGTCTAGATCTGGAACAAATGTAAAACAAAATTTACCTATAACCTTTTGATGTACACATTAGCATTTGTACATCACAAAGAAAAATAAATGTATTTTAGTTTTTTTTTTGAATAAATCAACCTCTGCAAAAGAAAAGCCTGTATTTGATGCCGGTGTAAGGTTTCTGCAGCTGTTGATGGGTTTGGAGAGACCACACAAAGACACCAGTAATTGATTTCCATGCTTTTGGAAATATATCAGACAAATTCACAATGCAATGCATTTACACCTAGAAACTGACATCTCCATGGAGATGGTGAAATATGAAAAGATTGAGGATTATAAGAGAAACTCTCACCCGGAGAAATGAGGGGAAGCCCAGCCCATAATAACCCACAGCAAAGTAGTCTGGCTTTGGTCTGATCACCTTCACAATGCTCTCATAAAACTGAGCCTGCTTCCTCTGAGAGAGACAAAGACAAAAATCACATCATCACTTCTGAACATATCATTTACAAACACTCTTCAAATTATTATTAATAATATTTGTTATATATACACTCTATAATATGGATTTGTGCTCAGATTCATAATAAAATGGTAAAAATAATAATAAAAAAACAGGTTGAAATCAATATGTGAGGGCTTGCAATAAAAGTTGGTCCCAAACTTTCGTTCTTTCTCTCTGAATGGATCAATTTGTCATTTGTTGCCAATTAGACAAAAACGCACTAACAAACAAAATGAGGAAAACCATTAAAACACCACCGTCCATTTATATTAGGCCAATTTACCTACTTAGGTGAACTCGAACAGTCTGAAGGGCTCATTAATTGTTTGTTTCATTGAAAAACATTGACAGCTAAAGTTTGTACGTACCAGTAAAGTGCTCAGCTGCTCAAAGTCAAACATCTCGTTCTCGTACTGTTCGGCTAACTCCTTCCCCAGGATAATGGCCTCCTCCCACATCTGAACACAAAACACATCAAACTTCATAATCACGTCAAACACAGTGACATAACAGCCTTCTAACCATCTGTGAACAATATGCTTGCGGATGCCAATATTATCCAGCTGCACCATGCGGATTGGGTAAAATATTTAAAGTCCCACTGTAGCTAATTATTTTATCCCATAAAAGGTAACACTTTACTTGAAGGGGTGTGCATAAGACTGACATGACACCTTCATAATCATGACTTGAGATATGAAGTAGGGTTTATGCAAGTTTTTGACAACTGTCATTGAGGGTCTTTCGCTCAATAATGACATTTTGAATGCAAATATGACGTTTTTGTTTTGACATCTTGACATAAACCAATACATCATAACCTGTCAGTGTCTTTGTCATGACAACTTGACATAAAATGAAGTTAAATTGTCATGTGGTTGGCTTTGACATTGGCTGTCATGAGGCATTATAACTGTGTCATGAATATTTTTCGGTACTAATTGAATTTGTCATTAAAAAGTTATAATGGCTTCATGACAGCCAATGTCAAAACCAACCAGCTGACAGTTTAATGTAATGTGAACCAATAAAGCTAGGCACTTTCTTAAGTTTGATCATTAATCTGCTATGTCATGTTTATGACAGGTTGTGTTGTCTCAGTAAAATCAAGGTGCCATAACAAAGACATCTCAAACAATGTCATATCTGCATTAAAAATGTCATAACTGAGCGAATGACACTTCAAACATGCATAAAACTTCACATATGTCATGTCATGATTATGAAGATGTCATATTAGACTTCAAGTAAAGTGGTAACGTTATTTCTAAAGGAGGAGCAGGTGGCACTAAATGAGTTTATCAATGACCTCGTCAGAGCAGGAATATGGATATCCTATTCTCTCATATCAGACGTATAACTTCAAATGCCAAGTGTAAATAAAACCTCTATCTAGCATTACACTTCTGGTGCGCAGGATTTGATATATAACTAATTCTTCAAATGAAACTTTGAGTGCATCCTGGCGGCACTGAGAGAGAGAGAGAGAGAGGGGCTATGATTATATATCAATATCTGCAGAGCATTATTATTGAGAATGCTGCCAGCTATTTGCAGTCTGTAGGAGAGATTGTGGATTACTTGGAATAAAGCAAGTAGCGTGCAAAAAAGTCATAAAAAGAAACTTGCATTGTAATATCAGACCACATGTTCAGCATGAGAATTACATTTCTCAATTTGTTTCCTATCGAGTGCAATAAAGGAACAGTTCCCCTCAAAGTGAAAACGTGTCATTATTTATGCATCCTCATGACGTCCCAAGCCCTATGTTGAATAACAAAAGAGAAGCATCTTTTTCTATTACAAAGGCTGTCAAAAACACAAAGTAACACAATAAAACTCATAATGAGTCCTTGACTTGTGTGTCTTCTGAAGCCTTATGTTTCTGAGAGGAAGAAACTCAAATTTTACATTCATTTATGCATTGATAATTTTCCATTCTTGCAAAAAAACCTTGAGCCTAGTCCATGTTTGCATCCAGAATTCAAAAAAAGGTGCATCAAGTTTGGTTACTAAACACAAGAGAGAACCGATGTCTAATGACTAAGTTTACAAGAACACACAAGTCTGATATGAACTAAAATGTGGTCATATTACTTTTACATTGTAAAACCTATATTTTGCAATCATCATATTACAATGCAGGACTTTAACCCCTTAACTGTCACCCCCCTTTTTGAGAATGGGGGTTAAATGCTCTATTCACACTTAAATGGTTGTAATTCAAGAATGCCTTGGAATATATATACCCAAGTTTGGTCTTGTTTTAAAGAAAACACTCAGCAGATTATTGCTGAAGTGAAAACACTTCAAAAAATGAAAGTATGAAAAAGTTATGGAAGTTTTAATTCACAGTAAATCAAATATACTGTCCTATATATTTTTTTATTTTATATAAAATATATATTTTACAAAATATTTTTACTCTAAAATTACTATAAAATCAAAGCCATAAATCTAACCAAGTTATGTTCCAAATCACAAAAATTGAAGTTCCCATGAGATTTTGTTTAGGCGTAGTACCAAAAATAGCCACCGGGTGCCATTGAATTCCATTGAATTTAGTTGTGTACATTCTGCCTTAACAAATTAATACATTTCTGTCCAAATATCAATTTTGTCACAAAATTTGGAACCTTGAGACACAGACCTTTCTGACAATATGTGTTTTGTCAAGATTAATAAAGGTTTTGATCATAAATTATGAAATATAAGGATGCCCAAAAGGGGAGGAGCCTCATAAAATAAGTACCGTTTCTATGGTAACGCAACGTTCAATTATAAAATGGTTTTCACAGGATGAATTCTGAGTTTATAAGCTTTTAAATGATACCTAATTTATGATAACTACTAAAATATGTGATATAATAAAAAAAGGCGATAAAAAATATTATTATATTTTAGAGGATAATATATACATATATATTATAATTTTTAGAGGATAATGTTATACTATACTTTTTATTTTTTATTGAAAAATACTAGATTATATGTTTTATCATGAACTTTTAGCATAAAAACAGAAGTTTCAATAATTAAAAGTGGGTGCTTAAACTTTTTGTGACAAAGGTCAGACCTCCTGTTATAATGCAGATTTTTTTTAGGTGCACTCTTGTCATAAATTCATTAATTACTCTTCCTACATAATTTTTAACACAAAACAGGGGTCGAATATTTAATTAGAAGTCTTAGACCTTTTCAAAAATATATAAAGTAAAGTTAGGCGTCCCGGTACCCGGTATTCAGCATCTACAGTATTTTCCAAAAGAAGGGAACAGCATGAACAACATGCATGTACAGTCTCATATGCACATGTACATTATACAGGAATATAGATGTGATGCATGTAAACATATTTTATCATATGCATATGTACATTATACAGGAATACAGCTGGGATGCATGTAAATGTCTTTTATATGCATATGCACATTATAAAGGAATATAGATGTGATGCATGTAAATGTCTTTTATCATATGCATATGCACATTATAAAGGAATATAGCTGTGATGCATGTAAACGTCTTTTATCATATGCATATGTACATTATAAAGGAATATAGATGTGATGCATGTAAACGTCTTTTATCATATGCATATGCACATTATAAAGGAATATAGCTGTGATGCATGTAAACGTCTTTTATCATATGCATATGCACATTATACAGGAATACAGCTGGGATGCATGTAAACGTCTTTTATCATATGCATATGCACATTATAAAGGAATATAGCTGTGATGCATGTAAACGTCTTTTATCATATGCATATGCACATTATACAGGAATATAGATGTGATGCATGTAAATGTCTTCTATCATATCATATGCACATGCACATTATACAGGAATATAGCTGTGAAGCATGTAAACGTCTTTTGCACGTAAGCCTCTAAAGGCTTAGCATGAACAGAAACTTTATTTTGTGAAATTTTGTGCATGCAACATGACATATGGGATCATTTTTTGTATTTGTTCGCAAAAAAGGCCTTGGGTGGAGGGGGAGGTCATCAGAAATCATTCATTTCTAATTGAACTGCTCCTTTAAGGGGATATCCAGGGAAAGCAGGCAGTGAAAGAGTGGGAAGAGTTTATGTGACTGAGACTTGCTGTCTCGGCTCTCGGGAGACGTTCAGCTGTGACATGTGGGTATGTCCCAGCAGTCTGAGCAGTGTTTAAAATAGACTGGAATAATTCCCATAAAATGTGTCGAACAGAAGAACTACGGCCCAGAGCTGCTCCTCAGCTCGCTTTCCAGGACTGACTGACTGCTGCTCTCCTTCAAACACGCACACTTTCCTGTTCAATCCTCTTGAGTTCTCTCTATTTGACACACTCGGTCAGGATTTTGAGCCGTTGAGCCCAGTAATGGGGTCCAGTCCAGGGCAGCAGATTTGCTTGAAGTCCCCTACCGAGAGACCTCTACGCTGGGCAGAGATCTCTGCGTGGCCCGTATAACCCTCAAATCCCCTCAGCTCCTCCGTCCAGCCTGTCAGACTAATGGAGATGTAGCCATAACAGACCAGCCAATAATCTCTCTCTCCACGGGTCATCTGTCCTTTACACTGACTGCAGTCTCTCTCAGTTCAAATTATATTACGTTTAAATTATATTACATTTAAAAAAACTTTTTTATTATATGAAGAGTTCAGATGCAAAAGCCTCTAAGTGCCATTTGAAATTTTCTTCTAGAATGATCATTTTTATCAAGCTTGTATATTTAAGTTCAGTAATTTCACTTAAATGGCAATGATAATTACCTATTAATTGTTATTTAAGTGAAATTACTGAACTTAAATATACAAGTTTGATAAAAATCATCATTAAAGAAGAAAATTTCAAATGGCATTTAGAGGCTTTTGCATCTGAACTCTTCATATTTAAAAGAAAAGCAATATATTTATATACATATATACACACTCACCTAAAGGATTATTAGGAACACCATACTAATACTGTGTTTGACCCCCTTTCTGCCTTAATTCTACGTGGCATTGATTCAACAAGGTGCTGAAAGCGTTCTTTAGAAATGTTGGCCCATATTGATAGGATAGCATCTTGCAGTTGATGGAGATTTGTGGGATGCACATCCAGGGCACGAAGCTCCCGTTCCACCACATCCCAAAGATGGTCTATTGGGTTGAGATCTGGTGACTGTGGCGGCCATTTTAGTACAGTCAACTCATTGACATGTTCAAGAAACCAGTTTGAAATGATTCCAGCTTTGTGACATGGTGCATTATCCTGATGGATACATGGTGGCCATAAAGGGATGGACATGGTCAGAAACAATGCTCAGGTAGGCCGTGGCATTTAAACGATGCCCAATTGGCACTAAGGGGCCTAAAGTGTGCCAAGAAAACATCCCCCACACCATTACACCACCACCACCAGCCTGCACAGTGGTAATAATGCATGATGGATCCATGTTCTCATTCTGTTTACGCCAAATTCTGACTCTACCATCTGAAATCGAGACTCATCAGACCAGGCAACATTTTTCCAGTCTTCAACTGTCCAATTTTGGTCAGCTCTTGCCAATTGTCGCCTCTTTTTCCTATTTGTAGTGGAGATGAGTGGTACCCGGTGGGGTCTTCTGCTGTTGTAGCCCATCCGCCTCAAGGTTGTGTGTGTTGTGTCTTCACAAATGCTTTGCTGCATACCTCGGTTGTAACGAGTGGTTATTTCAGTCAAAGTTGCTCTTCTATCAGCTTGAATCAGTCGGCCCATTCTCCTCTGACCTCTCGCATCAACAAGGCATTTTGGCCCACAGGACTGCCGCATACTGGATGTTTTTCCCTTTTCACATCATTCTTTGTAAACCCTAGAAATGGTTGTGTGTAAAAAATCCCAGTAACTGAGCAGATTGGGAAATACTCACAATCCCAACAACCATGCCACTCTCAAAATTGCTTAAATCACCTTTCTTTCCCACTCTGACATATTACATACAGTACAGTGCATAAGTCTTAGACATGTTAGTATTTTCACACAAGATCTCTATATCTTCTGCTGTAGTGTTTCAGTAGGAAATATCAGTTTACATCGACATCGCCAAACGTTCTTTTTGGCATTAATTGTAATAATGAATTGCTGCAGTTCTTCTTCTGACTAAAGCATGTAGTGATAGTGATGGTTACCTTTCCCTTGTCGAAGTAATTGATGATCTCCTGATACAGCTGGTCTTTGAGTTGACCCTGAGTGCTGGCGTGGTATCCGTCTCTCTGCGTCAGGTGGGCGGCACATGGCTCTTCAGACCACTGATAAAACAACATCAGCATTACACTCTTCAAATACACTGCATTAACCTGATGGTGACCTGTTAGATCTAATCTGTATCTATACGCACACAAATACATTACAACCAAACAGAAATTAACATGAAACTTTAAAGGAGTGGTATAATCAAATGTCCATTTTATCTTTTGAAATAAGAAGGTTCATTAAAACAAAATGTAACAAAACTTCCCACGCATAAGAAAAGTAAACCTGCATAAATGTCTGATGCAAGTCACAGTATGTGAATTCATGCATCCGCCTACATGCATACGTTAATGACGGCTATTCTGCGCTCGGAAACTCAGTCTGTGAAATCAAGATGAGGTAATATGGAGGATATTATTATTTCAAAACAAGATCCCTTATGATTTCAGTTTGATCTGAACAGCGACACGTCAGATTTTTGACTTTTTTGGTGCAAAAAAAGTTACTAAAAGCATTATAAGGGAACACAGGGAAAGAACAAACGCAAAAAATGTCATGACCACACTGAACAATAAATGAAAATATGCAATATGCAGGTGCACACACACACGCACACAACACACCAGAGTGGTCGCTTTCAGATAACAGCTGCTGGAGATATAAATTTTGTCTGAAAGGTTTTGCCTGTATTACTGTGCCGTGTCAAGAGCCCATCTGATAACACTGATTTATGTGGCCACACTGCAATATTCATTACAGATGCTGCTGTAAATAAGTGGATATAGGGAGAAACTGTGCAGATTAAGAACTCTTGGGTTTGTGCTGACCACTCAGTTCACTGCTTTTCTGGAATATAAACACACACACAAACGAGTGATCTGATTGGCAAGAGAAGATCAGCTGACTCTCTGCTATTGGCTGTGATGTTGAGCTACTGTATTGTGCTAAGGGCTCTGTCAGAACTAATTCACTGTAGTGAAACACCTCAGCAAACGGCATCATCAGCGTGAAAGCCCAAAAGTCTGTCTTTTATTGTGTGTTTCTGGGGCTTTACTAATCAACTAGTGGGTTTTCTGACAACTAGTCGATCGGTTGATCACCCTGGCCTAACGAAACGCTGACTATTTCCATGCGAACCAGACGTTGTGCAATCAGTGCTGGTTACTGTCATCATCAGCAAGAACATTTCTACAATACAGAGCAGGAATTGGAGCAAGTAATATATATATATATATAGAGGGAATGCATTGACGTCACATTCCCGCCGGAACAACTGACGTGGCAAAAGACCTGCTGCGTGACTGGATTTAATAGGGGAAACTGCGAAAATGCGACTAAAACGAACAATTTGATCAATTTAAACTAAATGTTGGACTCAATATAGTGTTCCTTACAACTTACTAAAGACCCAGTGATCCATGGATATTGACATGCAGCCAGGAATCGTGTTGCCTGACATTTATTTTTGCCTGATTTCGACACCGGGGAAATGAAAGTATATAGACCTAAACATAAAGCAAATTTGCCTGTGAACGCTTTAAATAAATACAATATAGGTAGGTCTAAATACGGGTGATCACTTATATCAGTGTTATATATATCATCATATCGTCCAGCCCTAAAACTTTATAGTTTTTTTTGAGTCAGGGTTTATTAAAAAAACATCCAATAATGCAGAATATGCAATGATAAATATTTAATTGATGAGTTGTTAATATATATAACAATACAAAATATATGGGTATGGTTTTACGGATAAATTCAGCATATTGACACAAAATGATAACTGCAAATCCAGCTTTCGCTGACTGGAGTCCAGTTGTTTCGATCCATTTGCTCCTCTTTCTATAGCAGTCTGTAAAAATATACCTCTGATTTTTTGTCAAATCTAGTTTTTCGGGGCATTCACGCTGAAAACATATACAGCCGCTCAGTCTTTTTTGCCACTCACTGGTCCTAGATAAGACTCTTATTCATAGTCTGGTGTCATTTAAAGCCCTTTGAAGCTGTAATGAAACTCTCAATTGGACCTTGAACAGTTTGGTTCCCATTGAAGTCCATTATATGGAGAAAATCCTGCAATGTTTTCATCAAAAACCTTAATTTCTTTTCGACTAAAGAATGAAAGACATGGACATCTTGGATGACATGGGGGCGAGTAAATTATCAGCAAAAGTTTTTTTACTCTTTTAATAGTATAATAATTTAGCTTGAGATTGCACAAATCAATATGTAAACACTTACACATTATTTGTCTGAAAGCACGTTTGATTTTAATATTTTAAATCACCAAAAGCTCCTTCAGGAGTTTCACGACTTCCAAGCGAGCAGATAACAAGTTGTAAAAGGCTTTGGTGTTGTCTCCAAAGTAAATGCACGCATTATGTGTGTAGCACAAGGTGTGTGTAAATGTGTGGAAGCAAGAGCAAAGAGAACAGTGGCTTTTTCTGAAAAGAAGCTGCGTGGGTTTGAGGGAACGTGGTGTTCCCTCGCCGACTGTGACAGCCGATTCCCTCGTCAAATTACTCCGGTAAAGCCCTGAACGGATCTCACATTCACTATCCAGATGTCATTAAACAGCAAGCCAATATACATATTAATTAATTTGCTCAACTAACAGCTAACTTCAATTATCAAGACTAACTCCCAAGATCAAATTTGCATTTTGTGAAGGACACACACAGTAGAGCAGCCACATTATATACAGTAATGTTAATAGTTTTAGGTACGATTATGTTTTATATGGTGTAAATGTGCAAATTAATGTGTTTGTATTTCTATGTGCTGTGCATATGAAGTGATATATATCAACTATATGTATAAACGGATTTAAAAAAAGCTATCAGTATAAAATCAGTATGCAAATAAATGCAAGACGACGAAAAAAAAGAAAAAAACCAGAAACGTTCCAGTATGCAAATATGACTTTCAGTTAAGAATAAAGTTCACAAACACCTAAAAGGGTGTCTGTACATTAAGTGATTCTGGATGAATTAATTAATACTTGGGTATTAAATTTAATACTTTAAGTTTCACAAGTTTTATACTTAATACTAATGAATTTTAATATCCAAAGCCTTACGCGCACCGCAATCATCTTTGACAAAGTTAAAGTATCTTTCTACCGGAGATTTGTTCTCAAATCTGCACTTGAGGTGACTTTATAAATGTCAGAAAAGGGGAAAAAACATCTTTCTGCAGAACTTCAACACTCAAAGAAATGGAAATGTGCATGAATTATTCCTGTCAGAGTCCTCAACAGCAAGATATCCAATTAAATTACACCTGATACTGTAGATTCTGCAGTTGAATGAGTCCATAAACATTGTTATCTCGTATACGCTGAACATTAATTTACTGGCATGTGTCGGCAAGTAGGAATCACTGTAGTGTGTGTTTACCGGAGACATCTAGAGACGTCCTCAAAGACATGAGATATATATATATATATATATATATAGTCAGATAAACATATGGAATTACCTTGAGGAGTTTAGCATGCAGTAGTAGTGTGTATCCGGCTTCTGTGTAGTTATCACACTCCTTATGCAGGTCACAGAGCTTATACAGGTACCTACACGCACACACACACACAACAATGATATTTACAATCTGAACACAAACTCCATTACATACAAAAAAGCTCCAATAACAAAGGCCAGCAGCACAGAGAGACTAGAGTTCAGATTAGATCATCTTTCACAAACACAGGGAAAGCTTGGAGAAACTTTCTTAAAGATTCTTAAAGATTAAAAGTCCAAATGACATGTTTTATCTTTATTTTTATAAATTGGATCATTCGGGACTGTTTTTAGATTTGTCGAGACAGTATTCCATTGTTGCTAAAACACACAATATTGTAAATATGATGTGAAATACTGGTTCACTTAAGATAATTAAGGGGCTTTTTACATTTTCTGAAAATAAAATCAATATTTTTTTTTCTTTTAATATAAAATCGCAAATAATTTACTGAAAGGTATTTATTAAATTAAAATAATAATATATGAAGAGTTCAGATTTGAAATTTTATTCTAGAATGATTATTTTTATCAAGCTTGTATATTTAAGTTCAGCAATTTCACTTCAATGACAATTCATAGGTAATCTTTATTGCCATTAAAGTGAAATTACTGACGAAAACTTACTGTTATTTAAAAAAATAATAATAATTAAACATTAAAATTACTGAAGATCATTCTAGAAGAAATTTTCAAATAGCACTTAGAGGCTTTTGCATCTGAATTCTTCATAAAACTATACATAAGTATATACATCTCTAATATATATATAAATATATATAAATACATATGTATGTACACATCACTATTGTTGAAAACTTTTTTTTTTGTAACGTCTTCTCCTCTGCTCGCCAAGGCTGCATTTATTTTAATTATACTGTATAAAATACAGTAAACACAATAATATTGTTACAAATACATTTATTTTAAAATGTAAACTTTATTCCTCTGATGTAAAGCTGAACGTTCAGCATCATTACTCCAGTCTTCAGTGTCACATGATCCTTCAGAAATCACTCTAATACGCTGATTAATATTAATATTGAAAACGGATGTTCTGTTTATTTATTTTTTTTTTATGTGGAAACCATGATATATTTTTTTCAGGATTTTTTAATGAATAAAATCTTCAAAATAACATCATTATTTGTAATGGAAATCATTTGTAATAGGGATGGGCAACGATTAATCATGATTAATCGCATCCAAAATAAAAGTTTGTGTTTACATAATATATGTGTGTGTAGTGTGTATAATTAATCTGTATATATAAATACCCACACATGCATGTATATATTTAAGAAATATGTGCATGTATATATTTTACATATATATATATATAAATCACAATTAATATTATATATAAATATACATATTTCATATATTAATAACACATATTTCTTAAATATATACATGCATGTGTGGGTATTTATATATACAAAAATTAATTATACACACTACACACATATATATTATGTAAACACAAACTTTTATTTTGGATGCGATTAATCGCGATTAATCGTTGCCCATCCCTAATTTGTAACATTATAAATGTCTCAAAATGTTACTGTTGATCAATTTAATGTGCCTTTAATGAAAGTAAAGAAAACACAGAAAAAAAGCTTTAACCATTGAGAATCCCAGCAGAGGGTGAAGTCTGCTTATGAAAGGATGAAAGATAAAGTCGCTCACCTGATGTACATCTCTTCTCTCTCGATCTCCTTGTAGAAATTCTGCAATAGATTCACACACAAGGTCACAAGCCTTTCACTTATTGATGCTAATCACTAACTTCCGTTTAACACAAAATCCATCATCATCCTGTAACATCATCTGTGTGTGCTGATGATTTCTGCACACCGGCCAACGAGACGCTACGAGAGTCGTGTTTAATGCTGCGTTCCAGGCTGGTTTTAGAGCGCGTAAATCACGACTTCAAACCACGACTCACGACTTTGTAGCATTCAGTACGTTTTAGAAATGTATAATAGAGTTATTATACATATGTGCCGTTGAGAGGCTAAATATTCTCCTTACCAGCACATTTACTGTGCAGCTCATGCGGTTCTCCTTGTTCTCGTCGTGCATGATGGTCCTGTAGTCCAGAAGTCTCTCCAACAGACGGACCACCAGAGTCACGAAGGTTTCACCGGACTTAGCCAGATACTTGTGTTTCCTGCAGTGCTCCAACAGACTGTCACACACACACACACACACACACAATGACGAAGGTCACACCACTATGTCTCTAAACTCCACGCTAAACAACACAAAACAGCAGTCAACATGAGAGCCATTTGATTTTGGTGCTCAATTTTTAAAATGTCTCATTAAAGTCAACACAATTTACTATAATTTGCCATATTTCTAAACAAAATAGGCCTATGTATGGACTTGACTAGTAGGGTATACTAATATTGGGTAATATTTGCCCATGTGTCATTGGTTACATCCGTAGAAAAACATCGTTTTAAAACAAGACCAGGTTAATATATTTTGATGAAAGATTATGAAAATAAACGTTTTGTTTCATATAACATGCACGGATGAACAAAGCTCAATAAGACCAACATTTAATTTGAATTTTAAATTGAATAATTTAATATTAAATATCAGTGTTATTTTAGTATCACTGATATATAACTAATACTGATAATTTTCCATTTCACTTTAATTTTTGTTCAAGATTTAGTAATTTTGTTATCTTGATATTTTTTTTTAAATGTTGATATAATTATATTTTTTATTGGCTTGATTCAGTTAATGTTTATTTTAAAGTAAAGAAAGATTTTTATTTTTTGTTTACCCTGTTAAATATCTCATGTTAATAAATTATGATCATTTTGCAGTGCAAATATTACAGTTTTTATACAATATTTTATATATATAAAATATTGTATAAAAACTGTAATATTTGCACTGCAAAATGATCATAATTAATAGGTAATTATCATTGCCATTTAAGTGAAATTACTGAACTTAAATATACAAGTTTGATAAAAATCATCATTAAAGAAGAAAATTTCAAATGGCATTTAGAGGCTTTTGCATCTGAACTCTTCATATATATATATTTTTTAATATATATATATATATATATATATATATATATTGTATTTAAAAGATTAAATACATGAGAATTAATTATGGTTTTGACTTGATGTTGTCTTTAAAGGCACAAACCTCTTCTGCTCCGTTTCCTCATGTAGTAATTATATTAACATCACTATCAGTGTGTGTGTCTGTGTGTGTGTGTGTGTGTGATCTGCTCTCACATCTTCTGGAAGAGGATTTTGTACTGTTCGTCTCCTCGGCCTCCTTCCACCTCGTGATCCAGCTTGGTGATGATCTCGTTCTCAAACTGCAATTAAACACAGCAGCCGTAAATAACGAGTGTGGGTAATTTTTCATTTCATTAGCGTTGATCCTCCCAGCCCTCCTCTCTCTCCTCCTCCTGCGTTTTCTCGCTCTCTTGCGCTGTATCAGAGTAATCAGCCGTTATCAGTCACACGACTGTGAGCTCAACTTATCTGCTCATTACCATCACGCGCTTCATCAGAGGCACACACACACAGACAGACTGACACACACACACACACAAACAGACAGACACATTTTCAAAAACTGTACTCATGTGACTGGTTTTGTGGTCCAGGGTCACAAAAGTGAATAGCAGTTAATTCAGTGTCTATGTCAATATTTAATAATATATAGCTTATTTACTTATTTAATAAAATGAAACAAATGAATATGAATAAAGTTTATTGTTGGCCTTTCTGAAGGATGTTACACTAAATTTCATTTCAAAAATGAGACCAAAGCATGAGGGAAAACGGACGGTTTTATACCCATGGTTCGCCTGTGCACTCTAAAAAATGCTGGGTTGTTTTAACCCAACTTTGGGTCAAATATGGACTAACCCAGCCGTTGGGTTAAATTTTTACATTACATTTTTAACCCAACATTTCGGGTTTGTCCATATTTGACCCAAAATTGGGTTAAAACAACCCAGCATTTTTTAGAGTGTGTGCCAGTTTCCCAAATCAACCAGTCAGCCCAACAATTGTGGTTCACTGGTGCGCAAACAAACCAAGTCACACTGAAAGATATGCCTGACTGTCATTAACTGCATTCATTTGAATGTTTTCTGCCCTCAATATGCTTCTCTTTTGAATGGCATATTAGTGTGTCCCATAGGACCGGCAGGGCGTCAAACACTCACTGAATCTGTGAGAGAGACTGAAGCTGAAGCATTATCAGTCCAATGACACTCTCAGAAGAAAAACAAATGAAAGATGAACTCACACATCTGTAGATGAACATTAAAGCAAAGCATATCTGAGGAAGTAGTGAATCCGTAACCTTTTAGGAGTGAAGCTTTTTGAGGTAGACGGAGATCTCTGAGGGATGCGACACAAGGACTGCATCCTAATATGCAAAATGAGAATCAGCGCATCCCGGACTATATTGTGTTGAAATGAGTGTTAAAGTCTGCATGAAACGGAAGTTGCGCAATTCTTTTCTTTCCTGTATTGACGTACGAGTGAAATGGCTTCTGGAATGAGAACAAACGTAGGGAGGGACTTGATTGGATCTTGAATAACTGAACTGTGCCAAAAACAGAGGATAATAGGGATGGGACGATAACCGGTTTCACTATAAACCGTGATAAAATGTACTGACGGTTAGTATTATCGTTTAAAATTTAATTATCATTAAAACCGTGTTTGATTATCGCGATTTTAATAACTCACTGAATCCTGTCGGCCAGTCTGACGCAGGCGCGCAGCACGCAATATTTTTTTAAATTACTCTTCAAGAAGGAATGGCGGAAGGCAGTGGCCGTGCTCAGGAGGTTTTTCAGCCTTTTAAGAGGACCAAATCTGAGGTGTGGTCATATTTTGGGTTTTACAAAAGTCCCGAGGGAAACTTGATCGAGGATGGTCACCCTGTCTGCCGAACAAAAAGTCACTGCAATAGAAACACTTCAAATCTGCCGAGTCGTCTTGTGTGATCATCACCCAAATGAACGCAAGGCAAGTTAACTTTGACATCAATACCAAAACTACGTCTGGGAAACAATTGGGCACGAAATGTTGTTTTGAGTTGAAACATTTCATGTCACTCACTTTAAATAGACGTGAAGCTTCCGCGAAGAAAAGTTCGTAGCGAGTGGATTTGAGCCAAAGACCAACGAACAACTTCAAACAAGACTATTATAAAGAGTGATATTTTAAGGGATAGTAAAGTATAGATACATCACGTATTAAACCGATTTTATTTTTACCACATAATTACGTAGACATTTTGAATTGATAATGAGATTAGCTAATGTTTTAAATCTTACCTGTTTATGAATTCATTTTGTAAAACAATCGTCCAGACAAGATATATCACACCAATATTATCAAACTCTGTAAACAATAAATCAACTCTGATTTGATTTTTGCAATACAATCAAAAACCGGAGACGCAAGACGGCAAGTTGTATTTGAATAAAACAAGAGCGCGCGTCCGTTGTGATATGGATGTGCGCTGTGTAATAATGCGTTGCTATTGACGACGGGCATTATAAAGAAGCAAATGCCATAGAATAGAATATTGCTTAAAAAACTGCATAGAGAGACTTGTTTTATTTGTTGTTTGTTGATTTTCAATTATAAAACTTGTTGAAATGTTTTCAGTGTGAGCATCAGTTCTTTTTAAGCACTTTCATAAATTTTTAACAAAACCGTGATAATATTGATAATCACGATTATTTTGGACACTATAATCGTGATATGAAATTTTCATACCGTCCCATCCCTAGAGGATGATAATAATAAAAAAACACGTTTCTTGAGCATCAAATCCTACGGTGGCCGGGAAGTGCAAAGCAACATTACAAATACTAAAACACTTTTACAAAGCTGGAAAACATTTTACCCTACCATAAAACACAATTACATAGGCAAAACACTTTTACCGAGGACAAAACACATAAACATTTTAGGAAAGAAATTAACATTTTAGAAAACAAATTAACAAGACGCAAAACACTTTTACAAGACCCGAAACAAATTTACAAAAGATGGATTCCTCACGGAAAGGGAATGTACCACATACCGAAAGTGACGAGTGAACGCGGATGTTGGTGAGCGCGCTCGATTCGTGTTGTCAATGTGGATAATATGGCGTGAATTAAGCATAGGATTTAAGTTTATTGATGACCGAACATTTCTGAAGGATCATGCGACACTGAAGACTGGAGTGATGATGCTGAAAATTCAGATATGATCACAGAAATAAATTACATTTTAAAAATATTCAAATAGAAACTGGAATAATACGCCTTATTCACGGCAGCGCCATCTTTGATTTTTAATGAGAATGAAAGCGAGGCTGTGAGGGATAGTCATGCATCTCTTCAATGGGCTGTACTGTTATTTAATGCGTTTTCGGATTGTTCTGCTCATGAAACACTGGAAAAATAGCCATTTTAGTTGACAATATAAGCTGTGGATAATTGTAAGTAATCTAGGAGCTTTATTCAGCTTTTTACAGCGGATGCCATTGGAAACACGGTAAGACTATCCCTCACAGCCTCACTTTCATACCTGTCATGGCGCTGCTCTGAATAAGGTCTATATTTCATAATTAACTGCAGCCTTGGTGAGCCAACAGACCCCAACCTTTTGAACCGTAGTGCACTTTCCCATGAACTAAACTATCAGTATGGGGTATAAGTAAGGATGCAAACACAGAAATCCCACGGGTACTGACGCCTGTGCAAACTGACCGTCTGGAAACAGCGTCTGAAGTGAAACTCGCACTGCATCATGTCAAAGAAGATGGCAATGGTGGCTTTACGCAGCTCGATCTCCGGAACCAGCGTCATCTCCAAGATCGGACCCACCATCTCAGGGATGAACTTGATCTTGTGTGGACCTGCAGGATGTTCAGAAGAAACAAGTGAGTACGCCTGAATCCTTTGGATTGTATATTTAAGATCTTTTCTGTTAGTTTTGTGGATCTGCTTTCTGTTTGTGATATATTTTAGCACAGGGAATATCGTCTCTCCGCTGCCTCCTCGCAGTGCCTATTTGTGTCTATCAACAACTTTTATGTATTTTCCGTGAGGTGTGTATAACTTCTATTTTGGAGGCAAACTTTCATCTGTGCTTTCCTAATCTTTTCTGCAATCACAACACTGAATAGAGGCAAACATCTCGGATTCTCTGGTGTATGTGACTAAACCCGCTATCAAACGCGGCAAGCTAATGAACAACCAAAGACTGGCGAGAAACACGTCTACCGTGAGGTGGCAAACATTTCTTCAGGGAGGAGTTTGGGAACTGAAAATACTTTCACAGCGGTGCTTCCTCAACGGTCCTGCCACTAATTATCACCTTCACTAACGGTGCATTTCCGCTTCCACGGCTCTAAATAACAGTTAGGTGTCATGGGCGAAAAATAACCCGCTTGAGATCAGTGCTAAAACTGTAGATGTGCCAGACACGAGCTGTACTAAAATAAATGATACCAAAATGATCCTATGTGAATGCTGGGAATCCTTGCATTTTATAAAGAGCCCACAGGATTTAGAGGACCGCAAGTGAAAGACTTTCAGTTTTCAAATGTGCACTATACCATTCAAAAGTTTGGGGTCAGTATGATTTTTGAAATAAATGCTTTTAATTCATCAAGTTTTACAGGCAGACATGGCTTTCTTCCATTGCCGTCCAGTACTAAGACAGGGATATTAAAAGACTAAATTCAATATACACATTAAGGGTGATGCATACGCAAGCAGAAGTTTCCTGTTACGCAGTTTTTCATAGAAAACCATTAAAAATAAAACACTTAAGCACATTGCATTCATATTCTGGGTTCCAGCTCGCCTGTATATAATATGCATCATTAATAAGGTGACTAGAGCATTTGATCTTAAAGCTACAATGCGTAACTCTTTTAGTTTATTCTTAGCTAAAAACACTTAGTTCTTTCAAAAATATATGTGCTCATTAATGTATATTTACTTCATATAAGTAATAAAGTATTCTCGTGAGTGTAGAATATGCCACTGAAAATACATACGGGTAATGTCGGTCGCCTCCATCTTGAAAGTACATTAACCAAAGAAGGACATAGCCATTAATTCAAGCTTCGCCTTTCGCGTTTACGTTTGAGTTAACTAGGGCTGCCCCCAAATAGTCGACTAAATGTTAGTCGATATGAGGAGGGCTTGGTCGAATACATTTTCATTAGTCGGTTAGTCGCAAAAAAAAAAAAAAAATATTACTTGAAAAAATTACGCAATCAGGGGCTGCGCAGTCAGTGTATGACATGACATCAAAGCAACCAGAGATCAACGAGATCTCGTGCCTCGCGGTATACCAAAACGCACTTGTGGGAGAGGTATCGGAAAATATCGCGACCAACAAGCTGTTGTCTTAGACCCACGTTTAAAGAGCTTGTCATTCTTTGACCAACACGAACGAGAAGATGCGTACTCCACAGTGTCGGATCTGACAGAAATTTTATCTACAGAAGCTGCGCGCCAGAAAGTGATCATGACAGTATTAGCCTTGCGGAGGGTGAGCTCGAAACCGAATAAGGAAAATTGATGAGGAAGAGCATGCAGAAGAGAAGGATGAACTAAAAATGTACTTGGCAGATAAAACAAAGGTTGATTAGGGACCATTGGCATGGTGGCAAAAAAATTAACATCGATATTCAAAGCTCGCTAAAGCAGCTAAACGCCTCCACATCCACTCCATCAGAGCGCATCTTTTCAAAGGCCGGCTTCATTGTGAACATGTCGAGAAGCTCCCTTCTTCCCAACAATGTGGACAAGCTGGTGTTCCTCTCACATAATATGAAAAAAATTAAATCGAATTGAAAGCTTAGGTAAGAATAATTAATTTCATTTTTGAAGTGTTTCTGTTTGCGATCCGTTAGGCTATATAAAAAACAAAACAAAAAAAACGGATATTTTTATAACGGTTAGGCTATACAAATAAATAAATACTATTTTTATTTATTCGTTTTTATATAATGCAGAAGTCGTTTTTTATTCTAAGAAAAATTAGTCTGATGTTTGCAATTTGTTTTTTCAGGTTAAGACTCATCCATCGTCTTAAATGGCAGTTTGCGGCTTTGCTCTGATATTTTTGTCCTTTAAATTAGCATATTTGTTCCACATTTTTTTTTAAATATAGCCTAGTTGTTCTAAACAATTTAATCAAATACTTAGGCTGTTGATTTGTTTGCCGCCTTCTTTTTTATTCGCAATATAAGTTTTGGCGTTCTGCGATATGCCATGTGCATTTATTAAATTGTTCGTTTATTAATTTTCCTTTTGAACAATATAAAAAAATATATTAATTTAATTTTCCACTGTTTTATACCAAACAGTGTTTTTGCTACAGTATTATTTATTTTTTGCCTTGTTTTGTACTAGGCCTAAGATACTAATAAGTTTATTTAATTTATTTTAAAGAACGAAATTTATTTTATTTTATTCAAAACTGTTTTTTTTCCATTTAACTGTTACAGTTTGTATTTTTGATAATAAATTATTAAAATGCACACTTGCACAGGCAGTCTGATTGCTGTTTTTTTATTCTACAATAACATGTCGTAAGCGTTGTATACTTTAAACGCTTTACTATTCTGTTTTAAGCGCTTAATTTTCAGTTTGAACGTGCTAATATCATGCTTTAGCATTTTCTGTCATATGGAAGTGTTAAACTTCAACTTTGGACTATTCCTTTCCTTGTATATACGCAAGCTTTTATATTAATATCATAAATGAACGATTATTCGACTAATCGCTAAAATGCAGGAGTGTTAGTCGACTAGGAATATCTTTAGTCGGGGGCAGCCCTAGAGTTAACACTCATGGACGAGGTCGAACTGGAAGCCATGTTAATCTTGGACTGCATTGGCCACCGTAGGAGTTAAACGAAATCGGAATTGAGAGGAACAGAAACTAATATTCCCTGGATGGTCATATTCCTTTTCACCACTAGATGGGTGTAAAAATCACACAGTGTAGCTTTAATGTACTAAAACAGTGATATTAAAATTAATTTTTTTAATATACTTCACACATTACATGTTTCAGAATATCACACTATTTGAAGTGATTTAAATAATGTAACAGGTGCTGTGTATGGATCACAAATGCCCAAAACTTGCATTTTATTCACATATTTTTGTTTTTCTTCTTTTGAGATGGAAAATAATCAAGAGAGTCATGCACTTGCAGATAGACATACCCCAGTATATTTCACAAGTATGTTTTGTTTTATGTAATGATCTCTTGAATGGCAGCTCACCTAGGTTGTACCACATGTCTCGGATCTCAAAGCCAATCTGTCGTCGCATGTCTTGATACCTATAAATGGAAATATGAAGATTTCAGTGAAAGACAGATGACTTCATAAAGTTTAAAGTATAAAATTATGCTCAAAGACCACAAAACATTTGTACGAACATCTCAAATTTATTCTCCTGGAATTGAGAAACATGTGAGGCTTTAACTTGCAAACCTTCATAATATTGTTGTGTTTCGAGAAAAAACTAGTTAAATTTCGAGAAAAAAGTTGAAATACAATCTTGAGAATAAACTCATTCAATTTGGAGAATAAAGTCGTTGTGTTTTGTGAAAAAACTAGTTAAATTTCGAGAAAAAAAAAAAAAAAAATCGAAATACAATCTTGAGAATAAACTCATTAAATTTCGAGAAAAAAGTCAAAATACAATCTTGAGAATAAACAAATTAAATATAGATAATAAATTCATTGTGTTTAGTGAAAAAACTCGTTAAATTTCGAGTAAAAAAGTCGAAATACAATCTTAATAAACTCATTAAATTTCGAGAATAAAGTCGCTCTCACGATTAAATTTTTTTGTTTTTTTTCTAGCAACACAACGACTTTATTCTCGAAAATGTATGAGTTTATTCTCAAGATTCTATTTCGAGTTTTTTTTCTTGAAACAACGACTTTAGTCTCTAAATTTAATGAGTTTATTCTCAAGATTCTATTTCTAGTTTTTTGTTCTCGAAACAATGAGAGAAGAATAAGAAGAATTGAGAGAAGAATAAAAGCTGTTCAGTATCAACATCACATGGCCCAATTGGTGCTCTCATTTAAAGAAAGTGTGAAGCAAGCAGCATGGCGACAGATCGCTTATCCTTTACCTCCAGCGGCCTCAGCAGGCCTGACATCCATTCATTAGTGCTGTCATTTGGGGACGCATGTGGCCCTCGGCTGAATTCTGAGCCACCATCGATTGCCTTGTCAATATGCCCTCATCCACACATAATTTACGATGACAAGGACGAGGTGCGTCGGAGCTCAGTTAACAAACAGTAAAGCCTCTCGCAACTCCTCTGAGTCTTACTTCTTTCAGTTTGACCCTCACAACTGACGTTTAATCATTTTTGTGACAGCTGCAGACCAGATGCATGCTAGCATTCTAAAGCTCGTCACGTGACTCACCTCGAGTCTGACCAGGACACTATTCACCTTGAGGTGGTTGCAACAAGACACTGTAATCTGTTTTGATTGAACGCAATTCCAAGTTGGTTGTTTTTATTCT